ATAATAAAAGATTAAATTTCTCGTTTCTTTATTCCTATAGAAAGTGTAGGGACGAAGACGAAAGCGCTTCACATCTTCTTTGTTACTGTTTAGTGTTATTACACGACATCGATTGATAATGCTAGGGGCCTATATTTTTAATAATGTTGGTCAGCTTCAGGAGGTGCATTTAAATAAGATTTTAGACTTTTCAAAAGACTTGCTAAAGGTGATTTTTAAACCAATGAGCTGTTATACTGTAACACAATAAGTCAATAGGCCTAGTTTCATACTTTGGAACGATTACATTTGTAACAAGGTATTAAAGCACTGAAGCATTGAAAGTTTGTGCAGCCTTGGCTATATATGGAAAACCACGACAAACCTTTCGCTTCTAATTTATCAGGCACGAGTTCTTAGCCTGGCACTTGGAGTCCAACCAAATTATTTAAGGACTATAAACTAATTAAAAAAAATGCGAATATTTCTTAAGACCACTCATGATGAGTACTTGGAAATACTCGAAACAGAGTTGTATAGTCAGCTAAATTTCAATGAATTAGTTAAATTTTTGTTGTTGTCTTTTCTTTTCTATTCGAACCCTTCCAACTTTAAAAAACGCTTCTTTGTCGTCATAAGAAGCGTAGCTTTAGGCAAAAATAATTTACTTCGAAAATAGGGTATTATTCTTTTTTATATTTGAAAATTTGATCATAACTTTTAAATTTAATAACATTTGTTGCAATCAAATTTTACAAACATTTGCAGTCGGCCCATGAAAAAAGTTATGAAATATGATTATACTTTCATACTCAAAGCTCTGATTTTTTGAGGATTGTATTTAAAAGTATTGTTAATAAAATAGAAATACAATTGTCGTTATGATCGATATACTTGTCCGTCAGGTGTAACACTTTTCAAACACCCGAAGTATTGCATTTTGTATTGCTCCAGACCTGTTGTACCCGTTGAATCGTATCTAATATTATGTGGTTTTACGTGTCGTACAATATCTATAGTAAAAAAAAACCGATAAAGAAGTGTGAGTTTCTAATTTTTATAAACTACAATCAGTTATTTTTGTTTACATGCTTATCTCTTATTATCAATTAAGATTTAAATTTATAGCAAAGCTATCCACAATTGAGTCCACGTCTATTTTGATAAAATAGTGAAAATAGAATTTTCACAATTTAGTGTTGGTTTTGCAAGTTCATTAAAAAATTATTGGTTGTATGCCTATTGGACCACATACACATAGGACTTGTACAATATAACAAGATCTTATGAAATATGGACTTAGAATACATATCGATTGAAAGAACAACAATCTATATTTCTCTATGATTAACTCAAAGTGCTCCATTTAAAAATTATTGGTTGTATGCCTATTGGGCCATATATACATAGACCTTACACAATATGACAAGATTTCAACAAACTCCAGTACAACAAGCTCCAAGCAGTAATTTTGAAATGATGTTTTCACAGTTCATGCAAACCATGCAAACTATGTTCAACCAAATAATACAAATGCAATCGCAATTGATGTCAGCGATTTTAGCCAGGTAATGAGTAGCATAAAAATATGTGCATGGAATGCAAACGGCATAAGCCAACATAAATTAGAAATTTTGAATTTTTTAAACCAAAATGAAGTTGATGTGATGCTCATCTCTGAAACTCACTTAACTAATAAAAACTACTTTTTTATACCAAACTATATATTTTACAAAACAAATCATCCTGACGGCAAAGCACATGGAGGTACGGGAATTTTAGTCCGAAGAAGATTAAAACACTATTTTGTGAACTCATGTGCTGAAAATTTCCTTCAAGCAACTTCAGTGTGCATACAATGCTTTACCTACAATCTTACCCTATCAGCAGTGTATTGCCCCCCTCGCTTTATACTAAACGAAATGCAGTACCTTGCATTCTTCAAAACTTTGGGAGAAAAATTCATTGCTGCAGGAGACTACAATGCAAAACACACTTTTTGGGGCTCTCGGCTCTGCAATCCTAAAGGTCAAAAACTCTTTAACGTGGTAACAAACAAGAACAACAAACTAGATGTCGCATCACCCGGGCATCCTACGTATTGGCCATCAGACAACAACAAAATCCCAGATCTTATTGATTTCGCTGTAACGAAGGGTATTCGTCGTGACTTTATTTCGGTGTACACAAGTTATGAATTATCATCGGATCATTCTCCAATCTTCCTAATAGTTCATGAAGAACCCCAACTAATTCAAGGTCCACAAAGACTTACAACTCAAAAAACAAACTGGCTGAAATTTAAGAAATACATAAGTACTCACGTTCATACCAATTACAAAATTAAAAACAAATACCAGGTGGATGATGCAGTACAAGTATTCAACATGATTCTTTCCTCAGCTGCCGAAATTTCTACATCACAAAATTTGCCTTCTCAGGTAAGAAAGCAGCATTTTAGCAACAGTGAAATCGAAAGACTTCTAGCCGAAAAAAGAAAACTTCGTCGAGAATGGCAACAAAATAGATCCCCATCAACCAAATCTAAATTAAAAGAAGCCGTAAATCGACTAAAGACCGCTCTTGCAAGAGACAAAGAACACAAACAATACGAATATATTAAGAAGCTGTCCCCAAACACGACTAACAAAGGATCACTCTGGAAGGCTGATCAAACTATAAAAACACCTGTCGAAGCAGTGCCTCCGTTAAGAAACTTCAGCGGTGAATGGGCGCGGAGCGACGAAGAAAAAGCTAATGTATTTGCTAACCATCTCAGTCAAATTTTTCAACCAAATCCCTCCAATAATTTGAATTTACCAGCTCAACATATTAACAATAATATTATCAACTTACAAATCTCCGCAAACGATATCAAGGTAACCATCAAAGAAAAACTTGTCTGCAAAAAAGCACCTGGACATGATTCTATAACTCCAATTATGTTAAAAAATCTGCCCTTCGTAGCAATCTCATTCATTACAAAGATTTTTAACGCCATAATAAAATTTGGACATATCCCGACGGAATGGAAAAGAGCGTTAATTATAATGGTTCAAAAGCCCGGAAAGGATTCAACACTAGCCGCATCATATA